GGTTGTGTAGGGGAGAATACAATTTGAGAGGCTTTTTTCAAACAGAGGGATGGTCTATAGCAGATGTTGGGGATTGAGTTGAGAGGTTGAAAGAATCTGGGCAGTTGGGCCTTGGTTACTGGAAGATTACCTGTGAAAGCAAGTATTGTAGGCAAGGGGGAAGATTGATGGAAGGCACTGAGAAAGCATTGGGAGACATTGAAGGAGATATCAGTGTAGTTGAGAGAGTATGTTGGATGACCTTGACCTGAGTAAGGGCTTGGCAATGAGTGTGTGTGTGTGTGTGTGTGTGTGTGTGTGAGAGAGAGAGAGAGAGAGAGAGAGAGAGAGAGAGGGAGAAACAGACAGACAGAGACAGAGAGACAGAGACAGAGACAGAGAGACAGAGAGGAGATGTCTTGGGTTAAACTGTGTTTTGTAATTGGGAGTATAGAATTTATTTACATTTATGTCTGGATAGTTAATGAATTTAAAGGAGTCAGTTGGTGGTGATTTTGTTAATCCTTTGGGCAGAAGATAAATAGGAGTATAAAAAGAGAGATGGAATTTGTGGGAAAAGGAGATCTTAAGAAAACAGAAACTGGAGGATGAGTATTATTATTGATAATGGAGGATTAAGTCTTATGTGGTCACCTGACAGGAAGGAGCTGTCATCCATATAAAAAGTGTAAACCAAAATAGCTAAAGGACTCCCTTGTGTGCGAGAGAGATGGAGTAGAAGGTCCTTGAGAGTCTGGGATGGGAGTGTAGTGGATCTGGGGAATGTTGAGACAAAGGAATAAGTGTGGCAGCATTGAAGGGAGGACAAGTAAGAAATGTGAGAAATGAATTTTGATAGCAGAAGTGTGGAAGGATGAAATCTGAGATTGTAGCAGACACTGACTTCAGGGAAATATTGGTGAGAATAGATTATGAGCAGGGATCCCAGAGTTAATTTATTAGCTTTGGAGATGAAAATAAGAAAGGTTTGGAATTTTGGAGAGTCTACAAATGTGTAAATAAATGGTTATCTCCAGCCTTCCAGTTCCCAAATAGCAGCTCAGAGGCTTAATAAGACTTATAAATGCTTGTCTGATTATTCAGGTTTATTAGTAACTAGCTCTTATATTTAAATTAACCCATTTCTATTTATCTATGTATCACCACATGGCCTGTGGCTTACCTGTCCTTTTCCATCTTTCTTCATGGGTTTCTTGCAGTATCTTTTCTGACTCCACTTTTTTTTAAATCTCTGTCCTTAGTTTGATTGTACCTCCCGACCTTATCTTGCCTCACTATTAGCCAAACAGTTTTATTATCAACCAATGATAGCAACACATATTCACAGCATAGAGAAGGACCATCTCACTGTGTAAATGAAAGCTGAGGAGAGTAGGAGAGATGCAGGAATATGCTGGTAGCTTTTGTCAGGGTAAGAGGCAAAATTTATGCCAATTTCTGGAGATTAAATCTTTTATAATTAGGGAAAAAGAAATGAGGGAATGAGGAGAAGAATTATTGAAAGGAACAAGTTAAGGGAGGAGTCTGGGGGGAATTCTGGAGGACTGACTGACTATGGGTGAGGGGGAGGTGTTAGCATAGAGAGAAGGAAAGAAACAGGTAACAATTTTTATATACTTTAATATATAAAATATACTGTGCAATTTACAGCCTGCGATATTGTAGGCTGTAAATTGCACAGCAGTTTACTAGGTTACCCACAGTGAAGAATTTCACTTTAGGAAGGGAGCTGGGACAGAAAGGAGGGGGCTTTTGGAATGGGGAGTAAGGAAAGGTTTAATGAAGCAGGCTGATGGTTACAAATAGTGGAGGAGGCCTGGAGAAGAGGTGGGGAGGCTGTTGCAGTAGAACTTTAAGGGGCTGGGGACACTGGAACTTCAAGAAGAGGACAGAGTGACAGGTTGTTAAGGAGTTTGGGAAGGCTGATGTGCTCTGTGCATCTGTACTGATGAATTCAAGCAGCCTGCAAGGAAAGAGTTGGGGACTTTGACACCTGTGGGCAGAAGGGATGGTAACAGCCACTGAACTCTGGCCTGGTGGCATGGCCTGAGAAGCTGTGGGTTTGGGTCAGGCTCTGGAGCACCATGGAGTGTAGTAGAGGAAGTGGAGGAGGGGGAATTGCCAGTCAAGGACACAGAGACTGATCTGCCTGGCCTTGGTAAATTCAGGTGAATGGAGGAATGGGTAGGTTGGCAGATGAAGGAGATTATTGGGAAGACAATTAACAAAGGAGAAGGAGGGGGAAAGTCTGGCAGTAGGGACAGAGCAACAGGTGGTGGGCCCAGAGTGCCTGGCTGTCAGTATTCCTGTGGCTTGGCATACAGAAGATTAAACAGAACATGAACAGCACAAAAGCTTACAAAACAGTATAGTAGAATTTAGAGAATGTAAGAGCCACACAGAGGGTTTTCAACAGACAATAGAAAGGGTAGAGCCCAAAAGGATGTCTCTATGTTATTCTGTGTGCTCTCAAGTGTTGTAAAAATCCCGAATAGTGCTAGGACCAGAGTGCCATCGGGGAGGGCAGTAGTCATTTAGATTGGTTATCTAGTGCATATAGAGGACAAGCCTGTGCACTATAGTTAATGAGGTTAAGAGATTTTATGTCTCCATGTTGCAGGCATTTGAGATTATGGAGGAGACATCCCAAAGGCAAGTTAGTTGGAATGAAGTGATGGAGCCTATCACCTTGCTGTTAGTGGGCCAAAGGTGAACATATTAGTTGTCCCAGTGTATCTCCAGATCATTATGTAGGCTCTGGTCACCAAGAGGGTGAACCCAGTGGATTGTAAGAGAATCCTGGGACCTGTGGACAAGATGTTTCAGAGGAGCAAGGGCACTGGATTCTGGAAGTAGAAAAAATGAAAGAGAAAACTCCCTACCAAACCACACAGGATGGAATGTGTATTACTGGCAGCCAGTCCTTGGAAGTCCAATACAATCAGTGAAAGTAGTGGTGGATTATAATCTCCCCATTCCACCAGGACAGAATAAAGACACCAGACATAATAATTCTGTCACCTCCTAAACCGGGGACTGGTTAAGGCAGCCAACGTTGGTGACTTATTAATTAGCCCTTGTTCAATGAGGTTAGGAGTTGCAGGAGGAGGGAAACCTGTGAATAAGGGTTGGAAAGGTGTCACTGGCCTATCCAGGTCAAGGCATCAATGAAGACCACCCCACACCGCCCCCACAATGGACAGTGGGGAATTCCTCCCAGACTGAATCATGTACAATTACACCCAAACACTTATTTTCACAGAGAGCTCTCTTATTAAGTGGGTAAGTTCTGACTCAGGCAGCAGCAAATGACTTTGAAGGTGTAATTTTTAAGAGGAGAAGGGAAGGTCTGTGTCAGAATGGATGAGGATGTGGTGGTAAAGGAAATAATTGAAGAGGGAGAAGGGGAGTGGGACAAGAAAAAGGGAGAACAGGTATCTGTTCTGCAGTTACAAAGGCTGCCTCTGGATAGAAGGGAGATAGGCGTGACACACCTACAAGTGGCAGTTTAAAAATGTGACGTGGGAAATCTTGTGTTAGGATGAGGTTTTTTGTTTTAATTTGGCATGCTAATTAGGCGAACCAAAAGGGAGCTTTTGATTCCTGGATTTTGGTTATCAGCCTCAAGAAGAGGAAGTGGCCAATTTGTGGACTAGACACTTGGTGGCTAACTTCAGGAATGTGGTCTAATGGTTTCTAGCAAAGCAGAGAGAATGGGGGAGAAGGGGAAGTCCTGGCTGAGCCACAAGCTTGAGTAGGCTAGTGTTCCTTCACATGCAATGTCCAGGAGACAATTTCACAACAGTTCTCCCTTCCAAACCTGGGCTCTTGTGTACATCTGCCATGTTCCTTTGTTTCAAAGCATCCCTTGTCTTGCACAACAAACTAGAGGTCTGAATAGGCTTTTAATTTATTTGTTTCTGGTAGAAAAAATCTATATTATTGTCTATTGATTTTGTCAAATATCTTTGACTGTATTCCATATACAACCATCATCACCATTACTCTATATACAGTCATTATTATCATCATTGTCTGTCTCATTTTCACCATAATTATTCCATAAACAGTCACTACCATCATCGTCTTTGTCGTCACCATCATTATTCCATATACAGTCATTAACATCATCAACTTTATCATCATCATTATTTCATGTGTATAGGAATTTGGCTTCATCAGTATCACATTTTTCCTGGGGCCCCCTGAAACTAGAGAGAGTATTGGATCCTCTTGAAGTGTACTTATATGCAGTTACGAGCTGTGTTTGGAGAATTGAAACCTTGTCCTCTGGAAGGGCAATCAGTGCTTCCAGACAATAAGCCATTTCTCCAGCCCCAGCATCATCATCTCTAAGTGCCAGTAGTAGGACAATGGTGCTTATAGCTGTAGCTTTTCTTTCTAAATTTCTTCTTCATGTTTTCACAGCTTATTGTATTTTAATGCAAACAACAGTTTTTAGAACTCCATGAGGAAAAGTGTTAGCCATCGTTTCTTCAAAGATTTGAAAAATTAATTTATATTTTCAGTAATAGAACTTTTAGCCCAAGAACTTTCTTTTGTTTTCACTTTGTGGTTTCTGTTTTCTGTTAGGCTCTCTTATCTCTTCTCTCATCATCACCAGGTCACATTTTAAATGATGGAAAGAGCAGTGTTAGCTGCTCTCTAGAGAAGGTATTATCTTACAACCTGGCTAGAGTCTTAGTTTCTTTTTTTTTTAATCAATCAATCAATTCATTATTTTTTTGTTTTTTTTATTTTATTTTCCAGTTTAAATTTAGATAAGAATTCACAAGTCAGTTCCAGGTCCCTCTCCCATTCCCTCCCCTCCTCCCGTGCCCTCCCCCCAACCCTCCCCCCCGTTATCCCCTCATTCCCCCAGGGAGGGTGAGACCCTCCATGGGGGTGTCCATAGTCTGTCATTGCTGGTGGGAGTGCCAACTGGTTCAATTCATTATTTTAAATTGTAATAATTCATACAAGAAAGATTTTAAGCCAAGTAAAAAATATGAGTCCTTTATTAGCTGACAAAAAAGAACAGGCTTATAAGTCCACATCTATTGAAGCTGAAATTCAGGGATACAGCTTTTTTAAAGGCAAAGAGCACAAAGACTATAATTTACATCAATGTTAGATGAGAGTCAGAGTATCCTTGAAATGTTCATTTCTGGAAGAGTAATTATGTTAGACACAGGATGACAGTTACATTTGCATCATACCTTCTTCAGTTATTTTAACTTATGTTACATTCGTATAAACATTAATTATTTTGGTTAATACATCTAGACCATGGAAACCTCAATTGTTTTTTTAAGGTAGATGTTGTTGGTGTGTAGACAGATAAACTCAAAATGGAGTCAGGACCATATTGTGTTGCATTGGTGACTTCAATATATCTGTGAACGCATATGTGAGTTTGTATGTGTATCATGTGCATGCATGAGCCAGGGAGATGAGAAGACATCTGATCCAGTGGATCTAAAGTTACAGACAGCTGTGAGATGCATGTGGCTGCAGAGAATTGAAAATGTGGCCCCCAAAGTAACAGTATGCACTCTTAATCTCTGGGTCAACCCTCTAGCTCCAGACTCTGAGCTTCTTAACTTTTCAACCTGAGTTGCATTTGTTAGTTATTATTTTTTCCTTTAACTATGTTCTTGTTATATTAAGCAGAATCATCAATACATATCTTGAACCATCTCAAAAGGTGTATGCTGCTTAGGGATCTTATATTGGATGAGGTAGGCTACATCTCTGTTATATCTACAAGGTACACTAAGACAAGTAAATAGTTTGATCCCTGGGAAATCAGACTAGGTTGAACAACATAGTGCAAGAATACTCCATAAACAAAACAACAACAGAATAAGCAGCAATATATCTCACTGAGTTGTCGCACTTGCCATGCAAGCCTAGGGACCTGGGTTGATTCCTGGGATGCACATAAAAGAGAAAGGGAAGAACCAGTTCCACCAAGTTGTCCTCTGACCTTCGCAGGTACACTGTGGTACCTCCTGCTGCTTATACAAGAATAATACACAAATAACTTTTAAAAAGTCCACTCAACTGATATGGGAACCTTTCATCACTTTGAGTCTCTTGGATTATGTAAAGGTACTGAATATGTATGGTATTTCCTACCTAATTTATTCATAACTATAAAAATTGTGCCAGAGTGGTGATCACCCTCAAGATAAATTATACTCACTCTCAATACAATATATAAAGTAAAAAAGTAGTCAACATTTTCTCAGTACAGTAAAAAATGTTCAAAATTTAAAAGTCATCACTTATTAGCCTTTTAGCTAAGCTCAGGTGTAAAATTTGTAGATTACCAATAAGTGTCAGACATATTTTATCATTTATAGTTTAATAAAAATGTGCTAGTGAAATAGGTGTCATGGTATATTAAACTCACAGGTGTATGATTTCTTAGATGAACAATCAGTAGGATAAAATCGATTTCCACTGAAATAAGGACAACTATGATTCTTCTTCTCTGAATCATTGATTCTGTGTAAAAACAATTACCAAATCAGAAATCGAGAGGTGGTCCCTGCAGATAGCATTTTTTTAATCTCAAAGTTAGAATTAGCTAAAACAAGTATAGGCCAAAGAGAAAAAAAAGCCATGGGAATGGAAAACAGTAAGCTTAACTGAAGATATCAAGCACAAGCCAATCCTACGGTGTCAAAGAAAGTAGTAACAAGGAAGCAGGGAAAGGCATTAGTGTTACAAACTTCCTAAAGTGATTTACAAATGTCTCCATGGAGTCCAGTAGAATAAAAACACTAATGTTCCAAAGGTGAGTTTACTTGGTGCGAACATGTTTTCTCTATTACTCCCCACAGAGTGCTCCTTCTATATCAGAGATCTTTCCTTTTCTCTGAATGCCCCTTCTGTGTCACACACAGACAGGACACATGCATGTAACAATCCCACCACCCTCAGCAAAGCCCTCGTTATCCAAACATTATACTTACAGAATTTGCTCTATTTTAGTGCCATTTTCCCACAACCAGGACTCATCAATTTCATTGGTTTTGAGCAGAATCCACCCATCAATTCCAAACACTAGCAAGTTTTCCTGTTGAGTACAGAAAAATCACAACCCATAACTAAGTGTAAAATCCTAGTACTTTTTCTGTCCTATATGCATCTTAAAATTTTTAGAATTTATACATATTTTTAAAATTCAGGATAGAATTTCATTCCATAGTCCAAGATGGCCTGGAAATTCACTGTATAAACCAAATGGCCTGAAACTCATGGTGGTCCTCCTGTGTCAGCCGCTCAATTGCTGCCCTTATAGGAATGATCTGCTCCTTCTTTACTAAATAGCAGCTTTAGCTTGCACAGGCCTGCTGAGTAGAACATGCCAGTGTGAGCTCATTTACTCCTTTGGTTTTTTCTTGCAGCATTAAACATTTCAATGCTGTAGAATCCTTCCTGTGTTCTCAATGAGGATAATAGTAATTTGCCCATAAGCAGTTGTCAGAAGCCTCCCACAACATTCAGTTTGCTAGACTGTGGTCTTCATGACCAGTGCTTCCACTGCAAACAGTTACAAAGAAAACAGAAATGCAGGAGTGTGTGACCTACCAGCTCTGCTTTGGAGTCTATCTCCACAAGATGAGACTTCAGTTCCTTACAGGAAGACTGACTGTCTGCCCAGGTTTTGATTTCACGAAAAACTTGATAGAAATTGTTTCCAAAAGCAATCCAGTTTTGTGAACAAAGATCACAGGTGTCAGCTAGGAAATGTGAAATGCGTGATTGGCATTAGAATAGACATTATAGTACAACTACTAGGCTTCATGAATACTACACAGGAGTAAAGTTTCTTTAATATCTTTGCTGGTGATGACGGTTGATCAAAGCCCCAGGAATGCTCAGCCAGCCCCCTATGAGCTACACTACAGTCCTAAACACTGTCTAAAAATGATGAGTCATATTTACACAATCCTTATAACAATGATGACAAATTTTTGTTTTAATATTTTTTTTACATAAAAATCAATATAAACTGATTCCTGCAAGGAAAATAAGTTTTAATATTGCATTTGTCATGATGATGTATAAATATGTAAATACTAAATGACATAATTATATGAATAGGAAAAGCAGTTAATAAAATGATTCTTAATCTGCAGTTTTTTAATGAAGAATGGCTCTGAATATGCAAAAATAAAATACACAGGTAGGCTTAAACTGGCATTCTCAGTATTTAAGATTTGTACTTTTCATTTTTTATTTCTATAAAATTTATAGTTATCCAAGGTCCAGGTTTATCTGTGTTTGTTTCAAGTTGACAACACTGAACCAGTATCTCTGTCTGTCCTTGCCTCCCCTCACTGACTTGGAAGCTTGACCCTCCATACTAAAGTTTTTTAAAGATTTCCATTGCCTTAGCCTCAATTACTTCAAGCAGTGAGTCAAAGATTAACTTTATATTTTGTCATTTTTAAGACATCTGAGACAAGGGAGGCTGAGCTTCATTTGAAAAGACAGAGATGCCTGAGCTGGTCAGTAGTCGGTCTGGCTCCCAGTGAAAAGACAGAGATGCCTGAGCTGGTCAGTAGTTGGTCTGGCTCCCAGCTCCCCCTGCTCTCCTAGGATAGGGCAGATTGGCTTATGCTTATTAATGTCAAAGTTCCCTATGCAGCTACCATAGCAAAGGAATAAAAAGTAACAGAAATAAAAGGAAGAGAATAACTGAAGAATAATGGAAAGGAAAGTAGCATGGAACATTTCTGCCTAACAGTTAAATCAACTTGAGGCCGAGTCAGTGGGAGGGAATTTATGTCCATAAGCTAGCCATTGTATATTTGCATGAGGGATTACTTATAACCAGAAGACACTATCGATATTATGCTGTCTTAAAATCTTCTTTGCCAACATTTTAAAACTCTTCAATTTAGACCCCAGCAGATTTTAGGAAAAGGGCAGAAAGCAGTCACATTCTTTGCACAAATACTATAAGAATGGTTCCATGGCCATTTACTAATGTTCTGGCCCTCTGAGATTTCTTGTACTTGGCCCCCACTGTTCACTCAGCACCACTGTCCATGTTCCTACTAGCACGGTTCATTGAGCTCTGCTTAAGGCATTCAGCTGCTTTCCTAATCCAAATTCTGAAAGTCCACATTCTCCTAACAAGCATCATGGTAAGGTCTATCACAGTAATGTACCACTACCTTGTACCACTTCTGTCTTAGGGAACACAATAGATAGGATGACTATATAATTTATTAGAGAATAGCTTACAGTCTGTTGTGCAGTCTTTCTGAAACCTAATGTCTTTCAACAGAAATTTAAGAATCCAGTATAATATCATTGGAATTAAGGATTCACCATACCCAGTATGAATGATTAGTGGAGTTTTATTGGTACAAGAACTTACATAGAAAGCATCAAGTGATTGTGACATCATTCCTGCTCCAAGGATGCAACCCTGCCTCTTCGATGCTTTCTGCAACCTCAAGACCACCCCCCCCCACCATTCCCAGGCTGATCCTTTCCCTTTAACAAGTTATGTCATCACCTGTAACCAGGACCAAATGGCATGGCCACTGTTAAGGGTATGCAGGCAAATATGGTTACACCAGTAGAACAGTCCAATAGGCTGGATTATTCAGCTGATCTTCAGTATACAAAGGAATATTGAAGAAGCAGCCTTTAATATCAGTGAGAGGATGGACTTGCCAGCAAGAGTGAGGGCAAGCAGGTAAAGAGCAAAAGCTTCCTTCTTTCATGTCCTTGACAGATGCTGCCACCAAAAGTTGTCCCCCAGATTAAAGGTGGATCTCCTCACCTCAAAATATCTGGATTAAAGTTGCTTCTTCCCAGTTAAATGAGTTAAGAAAAATCCCTCAGATCAGAAATATACCTAGCTCTTTGGGTTTTAATTAATTGCAGATGCAGTCAAGTTGACAACCAAGTATAGCCAACATACTTGTCAACCATCAACTTGGTTACAGCTGCTTTGAATACTTACAGTTAATATTTATTATGATGAAATGCTTAGAAATATCTGTATGCAGTCATTTGAGGAAATGGTTTTCTTTCCCCTTGTTAATAAGTATAATCGGAGAATTCATGAGAATGTGTACCAGGACTGTTTTCTCTACAGGATCATCATTCTTTTTTTTTTGGTTTATTTACGAGACAGGGTTTCTCTGTATGGTTTTGGAGGCTGTCGGTCCAGCCTGGCCTCGAACTCACAGAGATCCGCCTGCCTCTGCCTCCCGAGTGCTGGGATTAAAGGCATGCGCCACCAACGCCTAGCCATCATTCTTTGTACTACAAATAAACACAAATTGGTATTTATTTCCCAGAATTTCTTTCTATTTCACTGATTTATATTTTCAAGCAGCAGAAGCATAAGCAGTTCATATTTAATGTTCAACATATTTAAATTTCATTTTTCTTCTAATAAGAATTTAAAAATACACAAAACTTGTGGTCTTTGTGAATTTTGTTTTTTTTCTCCTTTCTTAGTTTTAAGCCATGACAGTTCTTCCCTCATAAGGTACTGAATAAAGAACACTACATATGCCTATCATGATTGATCAACATTTGTAGAAACAAGAAGATTATTTGGCCCAGTATTGAAAAGTCCTGGAAGTGAACCCTATAGAATTAATACTTATCAACATCCTTAGAGTTAATACTTACTATCCTCCTTAGGACACAGATGATCATGAAGCAAGCATTTTCTGCATTGTTCTTCTTGTCTAGATAATACTAGGGTAAAATTTGAGGCAGTAGTCAGTAGTGTTTAGGGTATGTTCACTTGGATGCTATTAAATATAGTCTCCATAGGGAGTCAAACTTTCATCATATTGCTGAGAGCATAACTGCTGAACTATGAATTAATCCCATAGTTGCTTACATTTTGGAAGTAAGATCCTTGTGGTTATCATCAGCACCACACACAAGGCTCCAAGGATGCCTGTTACCATTCTCCATACTGTTGTTTTGGGTCCTGAAAAGAAAGAGACAGTTAAATTCCATGTGCCATCTGACTTTTACTGGGTAAATCATCTGTGATGAATGTCTTTTTTTTTTTTTTTTGGTTTTTCGAGACAGGGTTTCTCTGTATTGTTTTGGAGGCTGTCGGTCCAGCCTGGCCTCGAACTCACAGAGATCCGCCTGCCTCTGCCTCCCGAGTGCTGGGATTAAAGGCGCCACCACCGCCTGGCAGTGATGAATGTCTTTCTAAATGTGGGAACAGTTAATGATGATTAATCACTGAAAGGAACAAATGCACTTTCCGTGCAAGCCTGGTCACATGAGCTCCATCCTTGGAGCCCATGGGAAAAGGCCTTAGTGTCCATTTACATCTGTATCTATTATTCCAGCAAATGGAGACAGGAGAATAGGCAACTGGAAGCTCAGAGGCCAGCCAGTATGGAGTAGGCTCCAGAAACTAAAAAGAGCCTGCTTCAAACTTCAAAACAAGGTGGAAGCAGAGAACACACTGCTTGGCCCCTCCCTCTTTCCCTCTCTCTTTCTCTCTCTCTCTTTCTCTTCTCTCTCTTTCTCTCTCTCCCCCCTCTTCATACATCTATAAAGAAGGAAAAAAAGATAGACATAACGTTATATTTTAAAAATTGCATTTAACTTGATTTCACCTTGTTATTTGATCAAATATAAAATATTTTTACCTCCAACATATTATAAAAATTATTTCTCTATCACCTATTTTTCCTGTGACACTAAACTATGCTATTTCTTTGAATATGGTGGTGATTTCTCCATAGCAGACTCATTGGGACTGAGTTAGACTGAACTGGTTAAATGTGGCTTCAATAACTATTTTCACAATAGCAGGGAATGAAGTCAATCATGTTTGGTAACACCTTTATTTTTAACATTTTAGGAGCCTAAAGCAGAAGGACTGCTTTGTGTTCAAGCCTACCTGAGATACAGAATAGAATCCTGTATCATAAAAATTGGGGAATGCAGAAATAAAATGAATTTTTAATGTTAAATCTACTTATTTATTTTGCTTGCTGACCACAGTTTCCCCTCCTTTTTCTCCTCCTAGACACTCCTCCAAGCTTGTGCTCTGCCCTCCCCATTTAGGCCCCCTACTTTTCTGTTCAGAAAAGGGCAGGCTTGATATGGATATCAATAAAACATAGCATGTGAAGTTATAATACAACTAAGCACCTCCCCTTCTATTAAGGCAGGGCAAGGTGGCCCAGTATGATGAGTTGGTCCCAAAAACTAGTAAAAGGGGATAGTCCCTGCTCCCACTGTGAGGAGTCCCCTAAGAAGACCAAGCTATACAAGTGTCCTATATATGCAAAAGACCTATGTATTCCCATGCACTCTTCCTGGTAGTCTGTTCAGATTCTGTGAGCTCCTTTGAACCCAGATTAGTTGATTTTGTTGGTTTTCTTGTGACATACTTGACTACTCTGGCTCGTACAATCCTTCCTCCCTCACTTCACCATGATTCCCCAAGTTCTGCCTAATATTTGACCTTGGGCCTCAGTCTCTGTTTCCATCAGTTGCTGGGTGAAGCCTCTTTGATGATAATTGATGTATTTACCAATCTAGTTATAGGAGATGGCCAGTTCAGACTACATATTTGCTATTGCTAGGAGTCTTAGCTGAGGTCATCACTACAGATTCCTGGGAGTTTGCCGTGTGTCAGATTTGTACCTGATCCCAAAATGCCCTCCCTCTTTATAGTCATTTCTTTTAGTCCTCACTCCATTTATCCACCCCAGTCAGATCCATCATGTTCCCATCCCCATCTGCCCTCAGTCTACCCATGAAGTTTCTTCATTTCCTCTTGCCAGGGAGACCTGAACATCCCCTTAAGCCCTCCTTTTTTGCATATTATTTTTTATTTTATTAACAATTTTATTTTACACATCAATTCCCCCATAACCACCCCCTTCCATCCTCCCATTCCCTCCATCCCCACCCATTCCCTAAGGATAGTAAGGCCCTCCACTGGGGATTATCAAATTCTCTCACATCATTTGTGAGAGGGCCTAGAACCTATTTCATGTATTTGGGATGCAAATGTATCCCTTCATAGGGAATAGGCTCCCAAAGTCCATTTGTGCACTAGAGATGAACATTTAAGCTCTCCTTATTACTTAGCCTCTCTGGGTCTGTGGTTTGTAGCATAGTTAGCCTTTACTTTATAGCTAATATTCACGTTTAAGTGAGAACATACCATGTTGTTCTTTTTGGGTCTGGGTTAGCTCACTCAGGATGATTGGAATTTTTAAAATTAGCATTCAGTTGTGTTCTTAAACTGTTGGAACCTGCCTCAGTGATGTTTGAGAGAAATAGATCAAAAGAAAATTACTCTACTGTAGTGTCCTAGACGAGCTGGGGGCAGTGGACTAGAAAGATGTATAATTAAAGTATTGTGACTAATTTAGCATGCTTATTTCCTTTTCATTCTGTTGCTGTGATAAAATACTCTGAAATATGCTATAATAGATGAGAAAGGTGCCTGTTCATCTTATGACTCCATTTATAATTCACAGAAGTTCCATCAGTGCAGGAGCTTGAAGCACCTGACCATACGCACAGTCAAGAAAGAGCAGAGAGACATGAACGCACTCATGCGTGGTGCTTGCCTAGCTTCTTCTGCTATTACACAGTCCAGAGTCCCAACCTGGGAATGTGCCTCCTGCATGCAGGCAGTTTTCCCACTTTATTTAGGGCATCCAGACAATTTACTACAGACATGCTCACAGGTCAAATGGGATACAGACTGTTACTTAGTAAGACTTCCAAGTTGATTCTATGTCATGTCACATTGACAATTAAAATTGGTCATGACAGGTATTGTGAGTTTTAATATAAATCCTAGTTTTGAAATCTTCCAGTTGTAGAATAGACAAACCACTGTACCTTGTCTTTTTCCTCTGACAACCCTTTTTGGGGGCAGGAGCTGAGACATTCTGCAGGATGTCAGTTCTGCACAGCTTGCCTGATCTTCACTTAGCATTACAGGGATCTGCTTGACTTTAGGCATTTTTCGCTTCTGTGGTGATTTAGTCCTCTTCATCTCCCTGTAAGTAATGTCCTCCCTGTTTCCTGTATTTTCATGTTGTTTACCGTGAGGCATTTCCTTATGCTTCACCTCAGTCTTGGCAGCTTGCTGAACTTCTTTAGGAGAATCTCTGAAACAAAGAAACACATGTAGGCTGCATTGCTGAGGCATCTCTGGGTCTTAATTCTCATATGGGAATATATGCTTATGAAATTGGTGGGTGAAGTAGAGGATATAAAAGTACAAATCCTTCTCTGAACATAATACTTTCATAGACACAGGTGAGTGTTCTATGATCCCTAACAATGCTCACAGCCACTGTCCCTCTCTGACCCCATTTTCAAAGGTGTTGACCTGGGATTGTATACAGTATTCCTTCTCAGCATTTCATGTACAGTGGTTAAAGTCTATAATAATAAAAACTGGCTAAAATACTACTATATTACTGAAAAATTAGAAACTTAAATTAGTGACAACTTAAAATCATGTGCCTCAAAACTTAAGTCCAAATGGATCAAAGACCTCAACATAAATCCATCCACACTGAAACTCTTAGAAGAGAAAGTAGGAGGCATCCTCAAATGAATTGGTACAGGAGACCACTTCCTGAACATAAAAAGGGTAGCATAGACACTGAGATTGACAACTAATAAATGGGACCTCCTGAAACTGAGAAGCTTCTCTAAGGCAAAGGACACAGTCAACAAGACAAAATGGCTACCAAAAAATGGGAAAAGATATTCACCAATCCCTCATTTGACTGAGGGCTGATCTCCAAAATATACAAAGAACTCAAGATTCTAGTCACCAAAACAACACATAATCCAATTAAAAAGCTGGGTGCAGAACTAAATAGAGAATTAGCAATAGAGGAATCCAAAATGGCTGAAACACTCAGCATCCTTAGCCATCAGGGAAATGCACATCAAAACAACTCTGAGATACAATCTTGCTCCTGTCAGAATGGCTAAAATCAAAAGCACCAATGACAGTTTATGCTGGAGAGGATGTGGAGAAAAGGGAACACTCCCACACTGCTGGTGGGAGTGCAAACTCACACAACCACTTTGGAAATCAATATGGCGGATCCTCAGGAAAGTGGGAATCAGTCTACCACAAGATCCAGCAATTCCATTCTTAAGCATATATCCAAAGTATTCACATTCATACAACAGGGGTATGTGTCCAACTATGTTCATAGCTGCATTATTTGTAATATCCAGAACCGGGAAGCAACCTAGATGCCCTTCAATTGCAAAATGGATAAAAAAAATGTAGTACATTTGCACAATGGCGTACTACTTAGCAGAAAAAAAACAATGGAATCTTGACATTCGCAGGCAAATAGATGGATCTAGAAGAAAACATCTTGAGTGAGGTAACCCAGTCAACAAAAGACAAACATGGTATATACTCACTCACATATGGATTTTAGACATAGAGCAAAGGATTATCAGCCTACAATCCACACTGCCAGAGAAACTAGGAAACAAGAAGAACCCTAAGAGGGACATACATGGTACCCAATAGAAGGGGAAAGGGACTAGATTTCCTGAGCTAATTGGGAGCATGTGGGGAGGGAAGAGGGATTTAGGAGAAAGAGAAAGGGAGAAGATGAAGGTAGAAGAGGACATGAGGAAGCAAGAAGACTGAGCCAGAGGATGAACAGAGGAGAGAAATATAAGAAATACTATAATAGAGGGAGTCATTATAGGTTTAAAGAGAAATCTGACACTAGGGAAATGTCCAGAGATCTACAAGGATAACCCCAACTAACAATCTAAGCAATAGTGGAGAGGCTACCTTAAATGTCCTTCCCCATAATTAGACTAATGACTGCCTTATATGCCATCCTAGAGCCTTCATCCAGTAGCTGATAGAAGCAGAAGCAGACACCTACAGCTAAACACTGAGCTGAACTCCTGGAATTTGGTTACAGAGAGAGAGAGAGAGGATTGATGAGCAAAGGGGTCAAGACCAGTCTGGGGAAACCCACAGATACAGCTGACTTGAAGAAGGGGGAGCTCATGGAACCCAAACTGATAGCTGGGAAACCAGCACAAGACTGTTTCATAACCCCTGAAGGTAGGTGTCATTTTGGAGGCCTGGTTAATCTATGGGGCCTCAGATAGTAGATTAGCCTTTATCCCTACTATGCAAATAGATTTTGGGAGCCCACTCCAAATAGAGAGATACTCTCTTAGCCTAGACACATGAGGGAGGGTCTAGGCCCTGCTCCAAATGATATGACAGACTTTGATGACCCCCCATAGAAGGCCTCACTCTCCCTGGTGAGCAGAAAGGGGATAGGATATGGGATCCGTGGGGGGCAGGAGAGCAGGGGAGCGAGAGGGAACTTGGATTGACATGTAAAACAGCTTGTTTCTAATTAAAATTAAAAAAGAAAAAAGCAGGTGCCTATGATCTTTATTAGTGAAATAAAGTATTATTTGGTTCATCTAATATTATGAGGATGAAATTAGATTTATTCAGAAACTTGATAAATTTTATATTTGGTTAGAAGAATACGAGTCTCTTTACCCAAGATCATTATCTGTCTAAGAATTTCACAGTTATTTAACACATACACACATATACACACACACACACATACATACACACACACACACACACATTATCAAATTAATGAAATAGGACTTACAAAGCACAAACAATGGGAAAAAAACAGACATTCACAAAACCCAATATAAACACAAAATCACTAATCAGAAATAAGGTCATGCAAATTAAAAGAAAAACAGTCACCCATGTGTAGTAAATGATAAAAATTCCTTAAAGTTGCTTATCAATATATTAATAGCTGTTGACAACTCTTGACTCCTAATTTGAATATTTTAGCCTATCTGAAAGTTAAATGGGAGTTTAAGTTATATGGTGCCAGGTTTTGTCACCATTATATTTCATCTATTAATATATAGGGAATGATAATATAGTGATTATCACAAAAAATGATCCTGGGTAAAGAGATGAGTAAGTACCTGAGACAGTAGAGTGCTGGGTGAACAACTGATGCTAAGAGTTATTCTTGATGAAGGGCTCTCTAACAGGCCTAAGCACCACAAATATGACATTAGCAGTGCCTGCCCTCCCCTTTCCTTGTCTTTTGCTATGTCATTAGATTATATTCCTAAAGCTACCCACCAATGTCTATTGCCTTATTTGGCAACTTCCTTATGCCTAACTCTTTCCTAAGGCTTATCACCAAGGTCCAGCTCTCAAAATACCAAGGTCAAATTCACATTTTGCATACATTGACTACATTCCAATGAGAATTTACCAAGTCATCTTAACACAGACTTCCCCCTTTTCTCCTTAAATCCACTTCTTCAGGAACACTTGCTACTGCCTTTGCCTGATCAAAGGCAACCCCACCTCTTATTCCTTCAGTAGGAATAAAATCTCCATTGTGTTGAGAATTTGGTTTCTGGGTGTGCTCTGTTCTGGCTCTTTGGCTTCTTCATTTGGTTTCTTTAACTCAGATCGTGATCTGGATGGGTCTGCAGGACCCCTGACCCAGTTCTTGCACCTTCTGGACCATCCAGCACCTGCTTTCTTTATTCAGCAATAGCTAATTTGTGAGTTTTCCCTTACTAGACATCCTAAACATTTCAGGATATCACGCGATGACTGTTGAGTGTCCAGCATCCCTCTTCCTATGGGGATGGGGAGAATGTATTCCAGAGGCAATGGTGGACTCCTTCAAGTTTGGCTAGACTGGTGATTTTCCTTTTACCACTGAGCATTCTCCATTCTTAACAATCTGAAAATCCTGTTCATAATGGCCCAGATTTGCCCTTGGACTATTGCATTCCTCTTTTGGTAGCTTGGGTGACAAACCCTTCCTCCAAGAGATCTTCTACTGGGAAGTTGAGACCCTTAAAGATGGCCCTTGCCTCTCAACCTTGACTCATTGGCTTCATTAGCAATGATATCCACTCCTTGCATTATGACTGTGCTACTGCACAAACAAATGATCACAACACCTCTTATATCTAAACTTATGCTTTTGTACCTTCCTCAACTTCCCACTGTTAAAAATCTTTAACTCTTAAATTTCTCTACACTCTGCTCAAAAAAATATTTCTTAAGATTATGCTGTAAACTATCTCAGGACTTTTAAGTTCATTGGGTATTGTTTAAAATTTATAAAATCTGTAACAAAAATTACCTTAAAACTTGTAACAAGCAGTTAAATCTTAATTTGCTATATGTGATTCAAATCTTATTCAAAATAGGTCTACTTACTATATATATAACTTAAATTCAAGTATTGATATACATATTTGCGTATATATATTTATCATAATCAGCAGCCATCTTTACTAAGGTTAAAGAATGAATGCCATGTGACTTCAACATCTTAAGATGACTATGTGGCATAAAACAACAATCATAAAATGTCTCAGTGATGCTGAGCACTTAGTTTATCATTATATTGCTTCTTAGACTAAAGAAGCAACAGCAAGCTTCCAAAGTATGTTGAATTGATATAAAATTTTACTCAGGTTAACAAAAGTGAACTTAGAGATTTACTTAACTACTTGTCCTTTGTTAACTTTTCAACACCAGGCTTCTTAAAAATTAAGTAAATACAACATATATTGTATAAACAAAATTTATAAATTCTAAGACCTACTCAAGTTCACAATAATTTTTTTCTAGTTTCTTTGCCTTTGCTATTTAGATAAACAAATCACTCACACAAAAACCCTTTGATATTTCATAATGGTGCACCATGCTAAAAGTAATCCAACTAAATCTTCAATTCAAAATTTTAAGGCTCAAAACTAACATGAATATATCCATATAATCTTAACCTTATAAAAGCTACTAACTTACTAATTAAAGATAGCTACAGCATGCAAGTTAACAATGTCACCTTATAAATAAAATTCTTTAATGTCTTCATAACTGTACTTGTTCCCACACCAAATAATAATGTAATTACAAAAATAACCCTTATTTAGCTTCCTATATGTGTTTAAAATAATTTTTAGTTCCCAATCTTTTACTATGATTCCTAGCATAAGTCTACTGTTTTTTCTACAATGCAGACTTTGATGCAGATTACAAACATTGGTTTCGACTTTTGTCTCATTTTATGATTTTTTAAAAATCCCTCTAGACTTAAGGAATCTACTTGGATTTTCATGTCGAAGGACAAGTAGACTCCAGATACATATTTCTGTAAACCAATAGCCTAAGTTTCTTGGCCTGCCCATTCCTGAGAATGACATCGCTCCCCATTTCCCTGGTCTTGCGATTCCTCTCCTCCATGTCCTCCAACTGCTAAAGCTATGGACCTAGATGTTTCAAATGTATACTCAAAATGAAATTTTTTTCTCTAAACTGCTTGTATTAGTCAGAATTCATTAAGTCGTAGAAATTGTGGAATGAGTCTCTCTGGAGTGACTTACAAGCTGGAGTCCACCCAATCCAATCATGGTGAGCAGTGAAAGGAAAGAAGATTCTAGGCTGCGGGTGTCAGCTGCTCTTCTGTATGTGCTAGCATCTGGAAGAAGTAGGCTCTAAAGCCACCGAGGGAATGGATGCAAAAGCAAGGTGAGGTCAAGCAGGAAAAACACCAAACCTTCCTTCTTCCATGTCCTTATATCGGCTCCCAGCAGTAGCTGTGTCTTCCTGCCTCAAGATCTGGATTAAAGGTATTTATCTTCCCACCTCAAGATCCGGATCAGAGTTGTGTCTTCTGACCTCTGAGGTCCAGACTAGAAGTGGATTCACCCACTTAAAACCAAGCAATATATTTCTAACAGGTATGCCTTCCATTTCTGTATTTTAGTTTATGCCAGATATAGTCAAGTTACCTTTTGTCTGTCTATCTGTCCTAGCAGATTTTAAATCAACTAGAAACTGTTCCAGCAACTAAACAGCCCCAGATGGTCCCCATGGGATCTGCATCCAAGACAGCTCTAGATGGTCAAGCCTCACAAATTGCTCTACCACTGCCTACACTTCTCCAGACCCAGATGGTCCGACAGAGCATGTACAAGGAATTACACAGCTTGTTCTTTCCTGAGTTGGCCAACATTCTAGCTTCCTTGCCTCCCTAACAAGGATGCCCCGATGTCAGCAAAAGCAGTCACAGAGGGCACCAACCATCCCCCCAATTCCAGCTTCCCAACCTGAAACTTAATGAAGTTTGTTCTCTCTTCCTGAGCCTCTCACTCTTTCTACCTCCTCCCTTACCAGCCCCACCTTCAGTCTCTTAGATGGTAAGCCCTCTTTTTCCCTACTGTTTCCTCCTGATGAGCAGGAAGTGGCCACAGAAATGACATCCACTTACCTGAAAATTGGCAACCCAAACAATAAAACAAAAAGTTGGGAATGAAGGGCTCTTTAATAGGCCTGAGCATTGCAAACATGGTGCTCTCAAGTCATGCCCTCCCCCTTCCCTCTTCTTTATTGAACCATTAGATTTCATTCTTAGAGCTAGCCACCAGGGTCCATTCTCTTATTTAACCACATCCTTATGCCTAATTCATTCCTCAGACTGAGCACCAAGATCCAGCTCTCAAAATACCAAGGTCCAGCAATTCGTATTTTGGCTGAACCAACTAATGTCCAATCAGGATTTACCAACTCATCCTAACACAGACTTTCCCCTGTTCTTCTAAATACCACTCCTGCAGAAACAACAGCTGCTATCTTTGCTTGAACCTGAGTGTCCCCTCCCCTCCATTTGTTCCCTGTGAGGTAATAAAAATCTCATTTATTTTGAGAATTTTGTGTTTGGATGTGTTCTGTGGCAAATCTTAAAAATTATTAGAGTTGAACTATTCTGTATTTTCAGGCTTGTGTGAGAATTTTGAAAAAAATTTCTGTCTCATTGGAAATAAAAGCACATGGTCAAATTGACTAAGATGGAGTTTCAGATATTTTAAAAGAGTGGAAGTGACTGGACACATGAACTTTTTTAATATCCATGAATTTTTCTAGGAATAGTTTTATAAAGGGAGGAAACTGAAGTAAAGTTTTAAGATGTAGAATTTTCATTGTTTCTTTTTTCAAAATTTATTTAAAATTGTTTGAATGTATGTATCCACAAGTGTTGGTACACATACGCATTCATTTTAAAGGCCTGGTAAGATATTAAGAGTGATGTGTTTCACAATCAATCAAAATGCAGAGCTGGAGTGCAGCCCCTCAAGATGCATATATAAAACACCCCCACACCTAAGGTTTGGGAACAGTGTGAGGAAGCCTGCTTGTTTTCTAATGAGAACAGAAAGGGAGTGGATCCAGATGGAAAGGAGGTGGTTGGGAAATGGGAGGAATGGAAGGAAGGGGAATGGTAATCTGAGTATGTTATGTGAGAAATAAATCTTATTTTCAATAAACAGAAAAAAAAGAAAAAAGAAATTATCATTCAGATTAGATGATTGAATGTCTGAGAACTGTATATGTAGCTCAATAAACAAATATATTAAGACTTATAAAAGTAAACTAGTTCCAGCAAAATAGTCTTAAATGATAGTTTCAAACACACAAAAGTGAGGAACACAGCACATAGGGATATAACTATATACTTTAAGTATAACGTCAACTTCATTACAAAGAAACACATAAAAAGACTTTCACCATTAATCACATAAATACAATTAATTACATGTCATTTTCCCTATAAAACTAGTAAAAATATACACAACAGATATGAATGCACAAATATAACAAAAGGGTATAGCGTATCATGCACACTCAAATAAAAAAGTTAACTGTTATCCACCTGTAGGAAAAGAAATTTGTCACTATTTATGAAAGCAAAATGAAATAACCACCCACTTATCAAACACTTTGAGATAGTAATAAAACAAAGACTTATTTATTAATTCAATTTGAAAGAAGAAGCTAAGCATTTGACAAAATAAAATCCTAATACAAAAGAAAAATCATACAGAAAGGATAGCTAGATTCACTCTAAGCTATTGCTTAAAAATAGAGCCATTCCATATTTCACAGAAACTATTTTGTCTCCAAACATTTAAATAGTTTTGTTGAGATGTAAGCTATCAGCCAAAAGTGTCACGTGCAGACAGCTTGAAAGACAAAGTAAAAGCAATATACTCACCTAGAAGACTCACCCTAGTCTGATTACCGTATCAGAGAATCCTGGGAATTAAACAGTGCTGCAGAACTTTACTAGATGAGTATAATTGCACAACAGATGATGTGGTACCCAAGTGTTCACAACAATTCTAAGTTGTGTATTTGTAAATTAGTCTGTGAGAAAGAAAAAGGGAAGTGCCTTTTCACTGCTAATTTATTATGCACTGCCCCCACCAGATACCTTCCAGGAAGAGAGTGTGTGATTTTTGCACTCCACTGAGTTTACTTTGAAAGGCATTTGTTATATCTTGGATCATTCCTTTTAAAATGTGTAAGGGAATATTACATGTAAAAGTACTTGAGTAGGAATATATCAAGTGTGAGGCATTAAAGAAAAAGAATTAGCCAGGATTACACGGAAGGAGAGTTCCACAGAATAAATAATAGGTAGAGTTATTACAGTAAAAGCTACACAGTGGCCTGGCCTGAGGCAGCATCTGCTCAGGACACTCAGTTTTCTATTTTTCATTTTTATCTCCATGAATGAGGTTTTTAGGTTTTGTGCGCTAGAGCCATTCATACAGACTGGTGCATTCCTTCCTTAGACCCATGAGGAGGGTCTCTTGGGTTTTGTACCCCAGCACATTCCATAGAGTAGTGCATTCGTTTGTCAGACCGATGGTGGTCTTTTTGGATGTTGTGCCCCTTGGACTCTGGTATCCTGTTGGTTTCACACATCTTTCTTCCTCACTCATGGAGAAAACAGCCAACAAAGTTATATCTTAAAATTTTCTATCTTCTATTGGATGGGAATATGTTCATGGCAGTTACTATCTTGACCACGTGGCCTAGCTATAGGTCTGCCCACTCCATGCCTAGGCAGAGGGGCAGTTTAGCCAGCCCTGGGAGACATAATTCATTTACATTTTTCCTTTTATTTTCTGTCCCTAATTTCTTCTTTCACTGACTCTGTTGCACATGGCTTGTTTGTGAAATAGTGTTCCTTCCCATGGCCTGGTAGGGGACACATTTCACACAAAAACCTTGCCTGTTCCATCTGCAGCAGATCTCCTTTCTTGTCCCTGCCAGTTTTACGTTTACTCTATCTCTTTAAATCTCCTGTCTGTTTGCTACAACACGTAAATCAGAGAATACAGTCTGGTTCTCCCTTTTTACTTTTATTTAGTCCTGTTTGATATATCTTCTTGCCTCTGTGCATGTGATTAAAAATTAACTCTCTCTCTATAAATGTAAGGTAACTCTACATAACTTCAGTTCAACTGTGCTGTCTCAAATATTTATAAATTGTTATATATATTTAAATGATGATAAAACTTAGGGTTATAAAGGTCTATTTCAACTTAACAAAACATTTACACCACACAGTCCTTCCTTTAAGCTGTTTACAATGGTTAAGTTTCAGTTACAAATGGGGATTCTTTTTTACTTCTTTGTCTTTTACAGGCATAAATCTAACCTACTAAGTTAAAATCAATTACAGTCAGGCTGGAGGGCTCTGAGTAAAACATCCCTCTACAGCCTCAGCTAGATCCTATCCTAATGTCATTGTAGCCATACTAATCTGTAGCCATACAAATTAATTACAGGAATAAAGCCTTACCTAGTCACCTATGTGCTTAAGGCAAGTAACTAAAGACAAATTTTATATGCTGAAATATAATAAGCTAAACAAACAGACAGCCCTCAAATGCTCCAAGATCAAGAGAATATGGTATTTAAAATGTTTTATTAAAAAAGTTTTTATAACAGAGAAACAGGCCACCTGCTGGCCCAACCCCATTTCCTCCAAGAAGACTGGTGGGCATTGGAGAAACTTCACCCACAAAAGTGGTAATGCTAGCCACTGAGCAAACCTGACATACACCTCAACTGCTGCAAAAGACTCTTCAGACCATGGACAAGAGGACACTGGAATCAACTTTCTCCACATTGCTTGGGCCAATAGTAGACAAGTCTTCCTAAAGCTCCTAATCCACAGGCCACATGCTATCAGCAGAAGGCAGGTGTCCTTAAAGCCTCTGCACTCAGCAACTATGGAGGACCTTGGGGGTGACTGATCATGAAGCCAGCTAGCAAGTCTCTCATTCTCCAATAATTAACTCAGGTAGAATTATATCCTTCTCAAGAACTCTGATGCAGTTTGAGGGCTGGTAGGTTTTAATATAACTCTTAAAATTCCTTTGTTTAAAATAAGGTTTTAAAGGAGGTACACTCTCTAAATCTGGACACTTTGGGGAGGGCCCAGACTCTAGAGATCACCCATGGAGGGCTCCACCTGCCCCGGGTATGGAGTGGGGATTGTTGGAAGGCTGGGGGTCTGGTGGGGAGAAGTGGGTGTAGAGGGGAGGGACAGGGAGCTGGGAATGACATGGGAAGCAAGCTTGTTTCTAATTTACATATATAATAAAAAAGTGTTTCAAAAAAGTTTTAAGGTATAACAAAGTAACTTAATTCATCCAAGGCTAAAAAGACCAATAGTCAACAAGTACTGTAAGGGAAAGTTGAAAGAACTTTGAAGAGATTTTTTCAAGGGTATACAAATACAAGTTATCAGATATTTCTAAATATGCTATTGTTTATAGTCTTAATATCAATCAATAAAGTTATAATGAGCCTTAAACCCAACTCTAAAAGGGTACTAAACAACATGCTATACTATTACAGGATAACTGCAAGGTTAAAATTAAGGTCCTTTTCATTGTCCTAAAGATATCTGTCAGTTTTTAAAATGTTAATGCTTTCAGACAAATCATTTCTGACATAAGTATCCTTCTAATGTGCCTAATATTTATTTTTTGCTAGCTCAAGGAATTCTTGTAAGTTCTAGGGAGCTTCATTGAACCCACCCAAAATAATTCAACCTAAATTTTGTGGATATGTCCACTGTTGTGTGGCATACTCCTGTATCTGTCTCTCTGTCTCTGTCTCTATCTCTGTCTCTCTCTCTTTCTCTCCCTCTCCTTGCCCTCTTTCATTCTCCCAACTTCACCCTTCTCCGCTTCTCTCTGGTCCTGGTTGCCCAATAACCCCTGTCTCTTCTTCCCTTTCCTTCAATAAACTCCATGTGGATTTTTGACTAGTAGTTCATGTTTCATTGACTGTCATTGCAGCAAAAGAACAACACTGCTAGTTACCAAAACCACCTGCTTTGAGAGTTCAGCATTTGCTTGACACAAATCTCACACCCCAAGGGCCTCTTTGCTAGACATGCCCACTTGCATCCCTAGAGCAGGTCTGATGGCCTTCCTCCCACAAAAGGTATTTAAATGGGCAGGCATTGTGTACATACCTGTAATCCTCAGAAAGACAGGAGGCTAACCTAGAGTTTAAGTGATCCTGCTCATTTGCATAAGATCTGTGTTATGACTTGTGTTGGGACATGGTGGCCAGGGTAGGATGAATAGGGCCAAGGAAAAGTATTCTGATCCTAAAACCAGGGCCAAGGAAGAATACCCTAACACTGATTTGACCCTAAGATCAGGGGCCAAGAAGAGAACACCGTGACTCTGACTTGACCCCTGGACCAGGGCTTGAAGTCCCACCAATCCCTGAGATCCCCGAGCATAAATTTCACTAATTTGTGTGCTTGCCCCAGAATCAGGATACCCACCAATCCCAAGCCACTCTGTAAAACCCTCCCCCAGAAACCCTATGTAAGCTCTATACTCTGTTCAGTTTGTTACTGCTTCTGATCCTAAAGAAAGTCTTCCCAAGGAATTTATCCTTCCCAATTAATTTCTTGAACAAGGATTGTATGTGGCATGACACTTTCACAGGACCTGAATCCAGCTGTGACACTTCCACAGAAACAGAGCCCAGCTGTAACATCTTTCACAAGAGTGGAATAGAACTGTAACATTTCTGTAGCAGTGTCTAGCCATGAACCTGTAATGGCGACCACACCCCTTCCTTTGAATACAGCCTCAGGCATACGGAAGTAGAAAGAAGAAAGCTTGAGGCATGGCTTTCTTTTATGTGGTCTTTCTTGTGGGTCAGCTGATCCAGTAGGAAGGGCATAGAAATGCTTCCTGGGGTCTTCGTGTTTTTCTCTGTAAGTGTTCCCCAATAAATACCCATTTATCATTTATCTTGGGTCTATGAAATCATCACACCCTCGCCTCATTTGGCACCCAACGTGATTGGGTGGGTCCCCGCGACTGCCCCATGTGGCTGGCTGTACAGCTCTCAGCTTCTATATATTGCTCTGGCCGCTGAGCTTGTTGCACAGTTTCTGCAAACTGTCCTGGGAAGAGCCAGTACTTCACTATGCTCGTTGCATACTGTGGATTTGCAGGCATGCACCTGTGGAAAGTACCCCAAAGCTTTCTGAGTTGCAGTGACTTTTCTTTCCACTCAGATTTGCTGGACAGGCTGTAAGTTTGCCTGAACCAGCCTCGGCAGTGGTAAGGACCTTTAAGCTATTGAAACAGCTCTCAGCTCGGTCAAATGAGCATCATTGGTGGTTCGCACAGCTTGGTCCCCTTTCTTTTCTCGAAAAAAAATTTCATTCTGTTTCGGGGCTTTTGTTTTGAGTATTCTTTAGAAATTACAGATTAAAAGTGATTCAAAAATCACCAAAATCTCCACATTCTAGAATTTTACTTAAGGTGTGATTAACAATGCCAGATAATATTACTATACAGGAAGTAAAAAACTTTTAGCTTCTTATATGGATGGGATTTTAGAAGAGGTTTATTACCTACCTGGAACCTATTTATTACTCGTGGTGGCTATTAGCTTATAATCCATATAAAATACTTAAAGAAATGGTTTGACAATAGAGTAAAGAATGAAGAACATACAGAAATCAAACAGACTCTACAGACTGATAATTAATGCTTAGAAAAAAGGATTCATAACATTGAAAATGACAATTATGATTTGACAAACAGAATTCAAAGAATAGAACCTAACATTGAAATAATAACCGAAAAAATTGTTCCATGTCTGAGATCAACGACAAGCTAGCAGATAGAACATTGTTTTTGGAAGGCAATCTACATGCCATCCAGATAATCTCTATGGATGGGAATAGTAAATCTCTAGGATCATATAAAAATGTAGAGAACAAGAAACTGACTGATTTAATGAAATCCTTAGACATTTATACTGTCCAGGAAATTC